GTACAAAAGGCAGCTAGATGACACACAAGGTAGAAGCAGCAAAAAATATTCCTAGATCTCTGTGACCAGCTGAGGAGACAGGATCTGAACATCAGGAGAGTGAAATCCAGTGCATGACAGGAGTTATTTAATTGAAGCGACACTCATAACTCAGCATTTCATGTTCACTTTTATTCATACAAAATGTGCACTTTTCCTATATGTTTAAGCAAATGGTTGTAGAAATCAATTCATGAACTGAATTATTGTTATTTTACATTGGACATCATAAATACATAAGTGTGAAAAATGCCTTGCTTCTGTGAATGACTGAATAATAATAAAATCCTAACAATGTTGCTTATATGAATGGTTGCATTCATGGTGAATATTAAACTCTCTCAAACAACAGTCTTGTTACATGCATTTTCTAATGAACTAAAATGAAGTACAAGAATGCTGAAATAATTTAAAAAGTTGATGATGGTATAGAGCAAATGTTCTGCATACTTTACTTATGTATAAACAATAGCATCTGAAAATCCCCAATATAGTTAGGCTTTACATTAAAAAAAGAGAACAACAAATACCTGATATTGCAGTTTTAAAGTTAATTTAAAATATATGAATTTTGTTCACTGAATACCTAGCAAAATATTTTCAATACAAATGGTATATTAAATTTTATAAAATCAGTTTGATACAATACTTTTTATGACAGTAGATGTATTTTGAAAACTTATTTACAACACAACTTACCACCTTTATTTTGATACAAAGGACACGTCTTTTTCATCATTGACATAGTTTCTATTGCTCCATTGATATCAAGTGTATAGTCCCATGACAAATTCCCATTCTCTAAGTCCCACGTAAACTGAGGTTTGAAGATATTTGTAGTGCCTAACAAATGCTTCTGTGAATGACTGAACTAATAATAAAATGCTAACAATGTTGCTTATATGAATTAACAACAGTCTTGTTACATGTACTTTCTAATGAACCAATATGAAGTACAAGAATGCTGAAATAATTTCTGACAGCTTCACGATGTAAAGACAAGTCATAACTAACAGCAATATTTCATGTCATAAGACAATCATACATTCTTCCTTGAATCCACAAGGGTTTATACTGATGATCAGCTCAAATTTCTTATATCTATCCTTTATGAAAACAGTTGCTTCTTTTTAAGGTTAAACTTATGATTACACATTAAACTCTCTCAAACTATAACTGTTATTACCCAATGAACAAGAAAAATGAAGTACAAGATAACTGAACTATCTTCTGACAACACGATGTTGGGTAAGTAGCATTTAGTAGGATTTCACGTTTTTAGACTGTCTTGAGTTCATATCGGTCGATCCCGCTGATCAGCTGAAGCCTCAGCTTGTATATATCCTTTTCCCTTTGGTGTCCTTGATCGTGATATGAAGTTTACTTTATTTTATTTGGTTTACCTATATTTACGCTACTATTCCCCGTCGTTCATTCCCTCCAGCATGGCCGCGGGACTAGTGTTACGGAGCAAATATGACGTCACTGTAATCGGTTAATANAAAGTCCCACGTAAACTGAGGTTTGAGGATATTTGTAGTGCCTAACAAATGCTTCTGTGAATGACTGAACTAATAAAATGCTAACAATGTTGCTTATATGAATTAACAACAGTCTTGTTACATGTACTTTCTAATGAACCAATATGAAGTACAAGAATGCTGAAATAATTTCTGACAGCTTCACGATGTAAAGATAAGTTATAACTAACAGCAATATTTCATGTCATAAGACAATCATATATTCTTCCTTGAATCCACAAGGGTTTATCCTGATGATCAGCTCAAATTTCTTATATCTATCCTTTATGAAAACAGTTGCTTCTATTTAAGGTTAAACTTATGATTACACATTAAACTCTCTCAAACTATAACTGTTATTACCCAATGAACAAGAAAAATGAAGTACAAGATAACTGAACTATCTTCTGACAACACGATGTTGGGTAAGTAGCATTTAGTAGGATTTCACGGTTTTAGACTGTCTTGAGTTCATATCGGTCGATCCCGCTGAGCAGCTGAAGCCTCAGCTTGTATATATCCTTTTCCCTTTGGTGTCCTTGATCGTGATATGAAGTTTACTTTATTTTATTTGGTTTACCTATATTTACGCTACTATTCCCCGTCGCTCATTCCCTCCAGCATGGCCGCGGGACTAGTGTTACGGAGCAAATATGACGTCACTGTAATCGGTTNAAATATGACGTCACTGTAATCGGTTAATTGGTCTTCAGAACTAAAAATTTTATCTCAGGGATGGTTTCTTCATTTAACCCCAAAATTTAAGGAATCAAAGAAATACATTTGTTGTGTTAAAGGATATTCCTTGTGATGATTTGATCTGACATGTTCTGGAATTTGTCTTGCATCTGCTGGAGGACATTTTGTACCTAAAAGTAAAAAATGTACAAAATATTGTTTGAAAATGTTTCATTACACTTGCAGTTTCACAAATTCTGATTTGGCCAAAACAAAACATAGTAAGTGAGGACAGTGCTTTAAAATAATGAATAATGTTCAAAATCATACAAAACTTAACGAATGCACACTTTGTAACTGAACTTTTATTGATTATTGACGTCGCCCCATTAGGCTTTAGACTAATGTCATTGTCACAAACTTTAAAATTGTCGCTAAGAAATGACATCGCACTTTTCGTTTTTATAAGGAAACAGTCACTCCAAATTTGAGCCCAATAAATTCTTCTTGGAAAAAACCTTTCATGTGGATACTTACAAATGTTGTAAGATCCTGTATGCTCTTAGGATCAGCGCTGTTTGAGATGTAGTCTGATTTCACCACGTCCGCCATTCTTCGTTCGTTCTGTTGCAGTGACGCTCTGCAGGTGCGCATGACAATTGACCTTGACCTTTTAAAACAAATAATTTGGGTTTGTGTGGTTATCGGGAAAAATACTGATAACGGTTTGATAAATTGTTTATTAACCACCGTTTTTCTTACCTCAAATTCAAAAATATGATTGTTCTCGTATTTATTCGCCATATCAGGAAATAGGTCATTTTAGCGGAAGTGATGACCTAGTTAGCGGCATATTTGTTTGTAAGCAAATTCTTGATGTGAGAACTGCTGTTTATGTGGGATCGAATAATAATTTAACCAATGTAATGGCAACAGCCAGGCATAAGGTTCAGTTAAAGAGCTATTTAGCATCGCACAGAAGTCCGGGGAAGGTGGTTGCTGATAGCAAGTCTGTCGGAAACGCAGGGAAAAAGTCCAAAATTGAAAATGACAGGTGAGTACTGTATTTTAATTCATAGTGTACATGTACATGTACTTGCTTGAAAGTTAGTTCCGAAAAAAATTAAAAGAATAATAATGATAATGGTTTTTTGGGCCCTTTAAATTTAATATCCCAGTTAATATTTACACCATTTTTATTCATAAACAAATCAAAACATTTCAAAAGTATAGTTTATAATATATTTTATTTATTTGTTATTATTTATATACCTTTACAGACCCTCATCAGGAGGTGACGTAAATAACATAACCAGAAAATTCACGAAATCTGTTAACATATCCTTGGGACCAAGTTCTCCAGCATCAAAACCGCAAGACAGGAAAGTAGCAACAAGACACCCACACATTAAAACTGCAACCAGTGTCACAAGAAGAGGGAATTCAGTCAAACCTGGCAAAGTTTCTATCAACGAGTAAGAAGGTTTTATTTGGTTTAAGATGTTTTAATGTAATGAGAAAGATTTCAGAACATTTAAACTTTGCCATTGGGTTAAAAGTCATACTTAGATTATATGTAAAAAAATGTTTGGTTATGGTTTCTTAGCCTACATTATTCGTATCTTTGTATTTGTTCTAGCATCATCAAATAATTTTTTCAACTTTTTAATTATCTTTGTTGCTAGCACACCATTGAATTTTTGTTTTTTCCCCACGTTTAATATGTATACAATGTATAAGTCAATTTTAGACCTATTTTAGCTTTTAATAAATGTTTGTCTATTTTAGCCTCCCAGATGAAGTTTTACTTCAAGTATTTTCAGAGCTTGGAGCAAGTGACTTGCTGACGTCTGCCAGAGTGTGTACAAGATGGAAGACACTTGCAAATGACAAGTTAGTCAAAAGTTCTTTAATTGGGCAGTATTTCTAGTTATTGGGCGGTAGTTTTCTGCCCCATTAAAGATGAATTCCCTTTCATTATATCTGTTTCCCCTTGCTCTCAAATTTTTTTCTCATATATCCATTGGAGTTAAAATCAGAAATTCCAAAAAAGTTTGAGTGAGGAATAGATGTTATTTGGTGTAAATACTGTCGGGAAGTCCTACTTTATTCATGACTTTGTTTGTTTATTAATTTCTAAATTTTATTTACTTTTGTAAATTGGAAACTTCTCTGTTAAATTGTATTTGTATGAATGAATTAACAGACAACATTTTTTTTTATTTCAGTAAACTGTGGCAACAGATGTTTAAACTGTATGCAGTGAAGGTGAAAGGACCCCTGCCAGAGATACCACAACACCCCCCAACTGCCTTCTGGAAGAAACACTGTATTGACAGGTACAAATAACTTAAATAACCTTACAGTTGTTAAAGTTAAAGATTAACACTGCCAGGATACCACAACACCCATCCACATCCTTCTGTATTTCCAGGTACAAATAATGTACTAAATAATGGAACAGTTATAAAATATCAAGATTAGACTGCGTTTCCATAATCTTAGTCTGTACTAGAAGGATCGATCTACGGTAATGTGCCATGAATTTCGAACAGTAGAAAATAATTAAATTTGGGAAAAGATCGTTCTGGCCGAAATTCATGAAATGGAGGTGCTCAGAACTTCCGAAAGTTCGAATTTCATGGAATTCTGTCAATTTTGACCGGAAGTTGTCTGTTCGTCGCTAGGCCTTCTGTTATCTTCTCCCGACGATCTATTTAGAGTTACCATAATGTATGATGTGTGAGTGTCGGTAACTGCGACCAAAGGTATACACGTACTTTCACCTGATCACTGTGTATGGCCCATAGATAGAGCGGCAGTACTGTTGTCTAGGGCCGCAAAACAGCATCGTTATCAGTAGTGTCGTTTTTCAAAAGCGATTCTGGCAGCCAGAAACTAGTGTCGTTTTTCAAAACGTTCCTGGCACTCAGAACGGGAGTGGACGGAGAGAGAGACGGCCGACGATTAGCGTCTGCCACGGCCAGATAACCTTTACTATGGAAGCTTAGTGTTACCGTTGCTCCTNATCGGTAATTGTGACCAAAGATATACACGTACTTTCACCCGATCACTGTGTATGGCCCATAGATAGAGCGGTACTGTTGTCTAGGGCCGCAAAACAGCATCATTATCAGTAGTGTCGTTTTTCAAAAACGATCCTGGCGCTCAGAACGGGAGTTGACGGAGGGAGAGACGGACGACGATTAACGTCTGCCACTGCCAGATAACCTTAACTATGGAAGCTTAGTATTACCGTTGCTCCTTTCCGTGCACTGAAACCGAGACGACAGCCGATCAGTGTCTATGGCGCACGTGCAGGTAGCCTTCATCTGCGATAAGTGTCTTCCGCGACCAGGTTCGTTGCCTTTACCGTTAAAGTCGGGCAGAGCTTTACGCGCGAATGCGTCCTCATCTCACCGTTCGCGGGTCGGTGTCTCCGACGCATACGTAGCCTTCCCTGCAGAAGCCGGCCTCGGCACTACGGCCTCTCCTCCGTGCGGGGAGGCCACTACGACCGCAGATCGGTATGTGCGGCGCACAGGTAGCCTTCGCCACGGCAGTCGAACTGTGTATTACGGGTCGCTCTCCGTCGTGCGCTGCGACCAAGATGACCGCTGATTGTTGTCTGAGATCAAATACCGGTATATATACTAGGTTTGGGGGGGGGGGGGGGGGGGGGGGGGGGGCTTTTTTTTTTTTTTTTT